GATTTCTTGGATCGGCGCGGAGCCCCCCTGTCGGCGCTTCCGGCGTCGCCCCTGACGCTCTCCGTGCGCCAGGGAGGAGGGTCCAGCGCCAGGGCGTGAAGCTATTCGCGGTTCGCGACTCGCGATTTCTCGTTTTCGTCTTCCTCGTCCTCCTCCTTTTTCCGGGGGGGAGGGCGGCGGCGCGAGAGTTCGAAGTTCTTCGCGCGTCGCGCAGCGCGAAGCGCGAACTCCGCTGCCCCTGAGGAGCTGGTCCGACGTCTTGGACAGCATCCCAGGGACTGAGCACAACGCTGTTTAGCTTGGTTTCGGCCCTTCCCTTGTGTTGTTTGTCATTCCTTTTTTGAGTTGTTGTTGCATTGTGCTTCGTTTCGGTGTCGTTTTCGTTTGGCACCGATTTTGTTTTGAACGTTCGTTTTCAACGTTCGGCTTCCTTCGGTTTGTAGTTAGTTCTAAATCAACGCCAACGCGTTTTAAACATCGTTGTCCTCGGTCGCTGGAACATCCACATCAGCAAGGAGGAGATCTTCGCAGACGAGGAGCAGGCGGCCGCGGCGGCGGAGGACCTCGCTGAGAGGAGCTCCGTGGACAGCAAGGGCAGGACGCTCTCCAGCGCATACCAGCACTACATCTTCATCTCCCACCACAAGGTCAGGGCCCACCACCAGGGTCCATCACCCGACATCATCGCGCCGTGCACCCAATCACGACGGGAGGTTCTTGGCAGTTTTCGGCCTCTGGGGCCCTGCCGGGCCCCGGGGCTTCGTCTAAACACGACCCGGGGCGATCAGGCCGCCCTGGGGAGAGGGCCAGGACTTGGGGGTACAGCCTTCTTGGTTTAGAAAAAGCCAAGACATCGCATGTCGGGGTTTCGATCCAAACGATCCGATTCGATATCGATTCCGGCCCGGTTCGATCAAGTTCGATTCTGATATTCCGACGATGTGATGCGGCCCGCTGCCTGCGTGGCACTGTTTTGCATGCTGGCGCGGCCGATTCGATTCGCGATCGATTCCGACTCCATTTCGATACGGCCCGATTCGATGCACGCTTAGATTCGGTCCGTGTTCCCGATGCGAAGTTCACGGATCCTGCAAGGCCGGCGGAGGCACCGAGGCTACGCTAATGCAGGAGGCTCTAGAGCGCATAATCGACAGCGACCTGGATAATCCTGGGCACCACATGATTGCACCCGTCTTTCTCGATTCGGAGGACCTGAGCGACTTGAGCGACTTGAAAGGCCACGTGCGCAACACGATGAACTTGGTGCTGCTGTTAACAGAGGAGGTGCTGAAGCGCCCCTGGGTGCTGGTTGAGATCGTCACCGCGTATCAGAAAGGCGTTCACATAGTGCCGGTCGAGATTTACAAGCGCGATGACAAAACTCCATTCAAGTATCCCGACGATGCTTTTTACAAGAAACTTAGCAACGGGGAGCTCCTGACGGAGTCCGAGAACGACCTCCTCAGGGACGAAAGCATCTCTGTGGACGACCTCGAGAAGGCTTTGCGCCACGTCTTCAAGAAGATCGCCTTGCCTTTCTCGCCGCACAAGTCAGGCAACGTGCGCGAGGCCGAGCTGACGGACATCCTCCGCCGCTGCACGGACACCATCCAGCCCTCCGATCTTGGCTATGAGGGTGGAGAACTTCCCGGCGTGCCTGACAGCACGGCTGGCATCGCGCTCCCCAGAGGCTCGGCAGCGCCCACGGACGCCCACCAGCTCAGCCGCCAGGCCGCGCCGCAGGCGCCATGCCAACCCTCTCAGACCTCCAGCTTCGGTGCCGTGGCTGGCGCGCAGCCTAAGAGCCCGAGCCACCAGGGTGCAACCGCTGGCAAGCCTACCCTCAGCCCTGTCGGCGAAAATCCCGCGTCGCCAGCGACCGGCGATGCAGCGATCCCTGTTCGAGACGATCCTGCCATCATGCTGAGCTGAGCCCCTCTGCTCACCGCGGGCGCGGCCAGCCTGAGGCCGACCGATTCCGGGGGCGGGGGCCTCCAGGGGCAACGACGGGGGGATCGGCTCAGGGAGGGGGAGGCACCGGCCCCAAGCGCCCAGTCTGCGCCGATCGGGGCCCGGTCGTCCCAGCCTGCCCAGTAGCGGTGTTGTTTGCTATCGAGGGCTTATTCCATCCCAGGGCCAGTCCCCTCCTGTCGTTGCCCCTCAGGCCTGTGGTTGAGCGGTGGTGTTGGTAGACGCGCTATGTAGCAGGGAACCGTAGCAGGCGTGCTAAGAGCCGTGCGCCCGATCCGCGTCGCCTTCCCATTCCTTTCTAAACAGATAGGCGCGCGCGCGTACCCGCAGGCACGTTTCGCACAGTAGATGCCTAGATGCCTTTGCAGCTGTGTGGACGTGCCATTGAGTACGTCTGTCTTGATTTTCATGTGAATGGTGCCCATCTTCTGGTCAGGGCGCGGAAGTAGTTAACGCCTCACCTGGGCAAAGTGATTGCCTCGCACACGCCTTGTGCATTGCAGCAGCTGGGGAGGCTTGAGGTTGAGGGTGTGGTGGTCTCCATGATGCGCTGTCCAATCACGACAGCTGCACGTACCACGGCTCCATCTGCGCTCTCCATATGCTCGCGTCTTCCAGCGTGAGTGAGCTCCAGCCCTCCTCGTCCTTCTTCTGATCCCTCTCCGCCGCTGCGCCTCCCACTCTGCTTCTGTGCTCCCTCCCTCGCCTCCTCCGCCTCCTCCCAGAGGCTGACCTAACTGTGTGGGCACTGTGCGCCCAACAGACCACCCCGCCATGCGGCCCGCCGCCCTGCGCTCGAAGGATGGAACGCGGCATAAGCACAAACTTTTGAAAGCCCGCGCGGCTCTGTTGGATCGGCGCTGGTGCACTCTGACGGCGCCTCCAGCGCCGCCCCTGGTGCCCCAGGGAAGGGGGGTCCGCGCGGACTTCCGCGAGCTTGCTTGTGCGCAGGCAGCCTCTTGTCCTTCACGTGTTTCACCCGTGTAGAAGGTCGGCCACGCGCAGAGGGGGGTAGGGGGAGGGGGGAAGGCTTCTTAGAAGCACTCCTGCTTCTTAGAAGCACCCCTGCTTCTTGGCTCAACTTGGCTCAAGATTTACTCGAATCCTGCTATCCCTCTTGCTACCCCTCTTGCTATAAACTCGCACTGAACAGCCATCAAGTGCCGGCATGCACAAGATGAACAGTTCGGGGCAGTCGAAGAGGCATGGCAGTGGTACCCCTACCCAACTTACGCCTTTCAGTAAGGTCAGGACGAGCAGGCGCTTGCCTTACTCTGATGATGATGTGGATTTATTTTCGGACGCCGGCGATGTCGAGGCTATGGACTCGCAGGCGCCACCTTGGTTCAAATAGTTCGAAGTGAGACAGAATAAGAAGTTCGACAAGATCTCTCGGGAGTTCGTGCAGATGCGACGGGCGATCGTGGAGGTCCGGAAGCAAGCCGAGAAGGCCACGGAGGCGGTCGAGGAGATTCGGTCAGCGCTCGAGGAGGTCGAGATCGACGTTGACGGCATCAAGGCGGACCTCGAGGACACGTACATCACCAAAGACATCATGGAGCAGACCTTGAAGGACTCAGAGCTCGGCCAGGAGGTGAAGGACATGGAGGGCAGGTTGAAGGTGCTTCAGGAGCAGGTCAACATGCTCCGAGGGACAACCACCAAGAGCATCAGCAACGACGTGGACGCTGGCGCGACGGAGGAGCGCGCTAAACAAGTTCTCGTTTTCGGATTCCGGGACAGGCTGGTGGCTTCGAGTGTCGTGCAGCAAATTACCACAATTCTCGAACACGTGCTTGGCAAGGACTTTCCGGCTAAGGTGTCAACATTTTCTGACCCTACTCGAATGGGGGTAATCACCTTCAGCAGCGTCCGGGAGAAAATCGATTTCTATAAAGCCGCCCGGGACTACGGTGACAGGAGTGTCTTTGGTGAGCTTTATTTCAGAAGCAATCTTACCAGGACAAGAGGCTGGGCTATACCAAACACTACTTACGCAACATCGACATGGGGGGGGAGGAAGAGGAGGACATACACGTCATATGGAGGAAGAAAATGGTGAAGGTGGGGGGAAGGAAAGTTGCATGGTTTGATGAAGATGGGAGGTGGCACACCACCAAAACCGCCAAGCAAGTGGAGGACGACGTGGAGGCAGCCATGCAGAAGTTGTTGAAGAAGCTGGATCCGGATCCGGCCACAGAGAGCGAGTGACGGGAGCTTGCTCCCACGTTCAAGGTTTCACCGATATCCCATTTTGCACGTGCAACGTTCCCAGAACATCGCGAATTAGATCCAGATTCTGGTTATGTACACAACTGTGACAATGTTGTTGGCCACAGCCACACGTTGAACGTCATCGTTTACAACATTCACTCTTTCATGAATTTTGACACACGCTTCGAAACCATTATGTTCGAGCTGGGAGGCCGCAGCTGGGACGCAATCGTATTTGTGGAAACATGGAGAGAGCAACGACGAGAAGCCTTCGAAACGGAAGGCGGGCACGCATGGCTAGGCATCGGAGGCACGATGGGGTTCGAACGGTTTGGGCATTCTGTTGCACAAACGTTGGGGATATAAGAGCTTCGCTGCCGTGTCGGACGGAGTCGCAGCAGTAACTGTGGTAGGTCGCGGAGTTTGCGTCGACATCGTGGGCGTATACATGCCCCATGTCGGGAAGCCGGATGTGATGGTTGAGGCAGTGTACGAATCCATTGACACACTCTTGGGAGCCAGCGCTCTACTTGTCATCGCTGGAGATTTCAACGCGGAGGTCGGCTCTGGCTGCGTCAATGACCCACTCAATGATAATATTGTTAATGAAGTTGCATGTGGGCCCAATCCCATTGGACAGCGTAACTCACGTGGCGAATTGCTCATCAATTGGTGTGTTTTGCACGGGCTCGTGCTTATGAGCACGTTCGATAATGTTGGTCAGAATCTTCCATGGACTCGTACGGCTGGTTATGTAGAGAAACAGTTAGATTTCATTATCGTGCCATGCAGGATGCGAAAAAACAATGCTGGCATGCCGTGTTGTGCCGGACATCGACACAGGATCCGACCACCGAACGCTACAGATCACTGTCTCCATCGGAAGGCGTCCACGGCGATCGGCTCCAAGGCGCGCAGCACGATGGACGCCTAATCTGGATCGCGGTAGGTATCGTGAACGGGCAGATTCCCTACTTGCGGACGCTGGACACGATGGCGGGGCAACTACGCATCTCGCAAACACGATTGAGGAGGCGATGGTCCGGGCAACCGCCGCGACCACGAGCAAGGCTACCTGCCAGCGCGCTGATGTATATTCAGATCCCGCCATCAGCAGCCTGATCGCTGAACGGCGTGCTTTGCGGTTCCGACAAGACTTTTCGAGGCGAGAGAGGCGTTCAAGGCGCACGGAACTGACAAAACCATCAAGAAGCACCAGTGGCGCAACATGCAAGCCGGGAAAGCTGCCAAAATAGATAAGATTCTAGACGAGTTCCGGGGCCTGAAGGAATTGACAACTTGTGGATCGAACCGAAAGGCTTCGCACATCACCCGGGTGCGCGACAAGAACAGCATTAGCAATGAGTCCAAGGAGGACATCGCCGAAGTGTTCGCCACATTTTACGAGGAATTGTACGCTTCTTTTGCGAATGGAGAGGGCGGTATCCGAGCTCCAGATGGTGACGTTCCTGCCTTCACTTCTACCGAACTGGATCCTGCTTTGAAGACGATGAAGTCCGGTAAATGCCATGACACCGCTGGGGTAGCAGCTGACATGTTGAAGTATGGCGGACAGGTGCTCAGAGATCGTGTGCTGGACTTGTTCAACATGGTTGTCAAGCAAGACAGAGATCCTCCGGCTTCGTGGCGACAGACGAAGCTTGTAGTGCTCTTTAAAAGAGGCGACCCAGAGCTGCCGCAGAACTACCGCCCACTTGCAATTCTACCTGTTTTGTACAAGGTCTTTGCGCGGATGCTCTGCAACAGGCTGCAGCCGATCGTTCTTCATCAGCAACCTCCAGACCAGGCCGCCTACAGGCCGGGCTTCAGCACAGAATATCATTTGCTGGCATTAGCGCTACTGCTGGAAAAAATGCGAAGAATGGAATCAAGCCGCATGGCTGGGCCTTGTCGACTTCGAGAAAGCATTCGAGCACAGCGCTCTCTGGCGCGTCCCGCAGGAGTTCAACATCCCCGGCCCGTGCATATCCCTCATGCAAAAAGCTCTACAAGGACCAGTCTGCGACCGTGGCCACAGGCGTGGATTCGAGGCCCTTCAGCTTGGCGCGCGGAGTCAAGCAGCGGGGCCCTGTCAGCGCCCTCCTGTTCATCGCTGTCATGGAGTCTTGCTTCTCGGCGATCAGGAAGAAATGGAGTGACCTCAACAAGCGGCGAACAGGACAATACTTCGGATTCGCTGTGGACGACCCTCAGGACCCACTTACTAATCTGCCGACGACGTATTGTTGTTTGCTCAGAGCAAATCTGATGTCGTGAAGATGCTGGCTCACCTGAGAGAACGCGCCGGCAAGTACGGACTGAAAGCGCCCCTCGGCAAAACAAACATCCTCAGCGACCGATGTTTTCAGCCCGGGCTCAACGCAAAGGTCGGGGACTGCGATGTAGAAATTATCCCTGTCACCGAATCGGAGAAGTACTTGGGGCGACTTGTGTGTCTCGGCGACTATCACGGAACCGAGCTTTCGCACAGGATGGCCGCAGCTTGGGGATTATTTGCGAAAATCAAACATGTTCTCTGCTCGCGAAGATACCCCCTGCCGGCTCGCCTGAGACTGTTCGACGCAGTTGTCACGCCGACAGCCTTGAACGCCAGTTCATGCTGGACAGTGTGGGCAAGCGCTACGTCTACCTTGCAGTTGACATGGAGAAGGATGCTGCGCAAGATCGCACAGGTCCCGCGTCGCCAGGACGAATCGTGGCTCCCTACATACGGCGATCAACGCGTCTGGCAATTTCGAAAGCGATGAGTCTAGGTCATGAGAGCTGGGTCGACCTTCAAGAACGACGCAAACGATCCTTGTCTGAACGTACGCAGCCGGACACTCAAGGCAAATGGTCAAAGAGATTGCTACTATGGAAGCCGGAATTCCGTACCCGGGCCTGGAGGCGATCTGGCAGGCCTGTCAAGAGGTGGGCTGACGCGTAACCCGTGAAGCTCTCGGGCGATTGTATTTTCCACGTTTCACCATCCACGGCCTGCCCAGGCAGTTTCTTGACTGCCAGCAGGGGACCGCTCCCGGCAGGGAGTGGACGTCAGGCCGCTCTGCTCTGCTCCGCCCTGCTTCTTAGAAGGCGTGGGCCCTGTCTGTAGATGTAAGGCCTGCGCCTTCTAAGGGCTGAGCAGCCTCCTTCTAAGAAGTCGCCCCCCCTCCCCCTACCCCCCTTTGCGCGCCGCCAAGAAGGGAGGGCCCGTGGCCGCTCCCAGGGGGGGCACTCCCCCTCGGCGCCCCCTCCCGCCGCCCCCTGGCCGTGCCCGCTGGCGCGCCGCTCCCCGCCGCAGGGGCCCCGGACAGGCCGCGGAGCACCTCGGGGGCAACGATAGGGGGGGGATAGGCACCGGGGGATAGGCAATGCATCGACCCCCAATCGCCCATTGATCGCCGAGAGATAGCCCCAACCTGCACAGGAAGGCGCGGATTCACTGTCAGAGGCCTATCGCCGATCCATCGGCGACGTATCGCCGATTCCAGGACGATGCATCCCCCCCTTTGCCAGCCCCCCTCCCGGTCGCTGCCCCTCAGCACCTCCCCTGGCCAATCGGGCCGCGGGGAGCGCGGGGCTCCGTTCCTGGCCAATCGGCGGCCGGGTTCGTTGCCAGTGCGCGGGGGGCGCCAGCGCGCTGCATGACACAGAGGTCGACGCGCGAGCCCCTGCCTCCCTCGGGGCCTCCTGCCCATGCCTCGCCCAACTCCCGCCAATGTGTGGACTGTGGTGCGGTCTGCCCCGTGTTCTTGCCGAGGCGTCGAAAAGGAACGCAGAGAGTAGTCGACCCGCGGCCTTGCTTGATAGCTGGCAGGCCCAATGTCTGCAGTGCGACGCGGGGCGGGAAGAGAATCGAGGCATCCAGCGTCGCGATCTCTTGCTCAGCGTGGCTTCCCAAGGTCTGGACCTTTCCTTGGGACATTTGTGTTGATCTCGAGTACAGTCATGACACTGTGAAAGAAGGACCTATTATTTGGCGTTCCTCTTGACGGCCCCAGTGATTGGTAAGGGCCCCCGGATTGTCACAGTGATCGGCAAGGGCCCTTTTGATGCAAATGACTTGACGTGGTGCGTGCGGTGTCGGGGGGGGTCGGGCGGCCCAGCCCAGGCACGCACCGTCCCACCACCGGGGTGCGAGGTCTCCGGGGAAGGGGGGACGGGGGCGGGCACGGAGGGGCACCGAGCCCCTTCAACCCCAACTGGTATGAGACTTCGTGTGCTGTTGGATGTTATTCCCTACCTAGGCTCTGCCTAGAAGGGTTCTTACCCTCTAGCTTAAAAGGGCCGGGCAGTGGATATCGCCCCGGGCGGTTCCCCCAGGATCCGCCCCGCGGTTCCCCCAGTTGCGTCCCCTTAGCTTAGCGTTGCTCATATCATCTTAGCTTAGCTTATTTCATCTTAGCTTAGTTTAGCTTCATCTTAGCTCAGGTTTATCTTAGCTTAGCTTACCTTCATCTTAGCTTCGCCGGGCTTTAGCATAACAGAGCACAGCATAGCAGAGCAGAGCGTAGCATAGCATAGCGCAGCACATCATATCATAGCAAAGCCCAGCATAGCATAGAAACTAGCGCAGCATAGCATAGTATAGCATAGCATAGCATAGCATAGTGCAGCGCAGCACAGCACAGCACAGCACAGCATAGCACGGCGCAGCATAGCATAGCAGAGCATAGCAGAGCATATCATAGCACAGCAGCAAAGCAAAGGCAACGCAACAGCAGCGACAGCAAAGCAAAGCACAAGCAACGCAAAGCAAAGCAAAGCAAACACAACAGCAAAGCAAAGGAAAGGCAACCGCGTTGCCAGTCTATTTTCTGTTCGGGTAATTAGCATGGGTGTAATTCCCTACCTAGGCTCTGCCTAGAGGGTTATCGTAGCTCAGCTCAGCATAGCGCAGCGCTGCATTATCATATCATAGCATAGCATAACATAGCCAATCATAACATAGCATACTCTATCATATCATATCATAGTATAGCATACCATAGCATAGCATATCATAGCATAGCATATCATAGCATAGCATATCATAGCTTAGCATAGCACAGCGCAGCATGGCATAGCATAGCTTAGCATAGCATAGCATAGCATAACATAGCGCAGCATAGCATAGCACAGCATAGCATAGCGCAGCATAGCATGGCATAGCAAAACATAGCATAGCAACTACTGCTGCTTTCCTAGGGGCTCCAACTTCTAGGTAGGGTCGCACGGGGGTAATTGTGCATCTTCCCTCGAGTGTTCTTCAGTTTGGTAGGCGGAGGGTCTTATGTTGAAGGATGTTATAATGTTTTTGGTCTGGCCATACTTCACTCTTGCTCGAGATCGCCAGAGTGTCACACGCAGAGCAGAGAAGTCAATCGTTTCAGTGACTCCGGGCTTCCCCCTCCCCGACCGGGTGTCCGTCATCGGCCTTGCCGTCGTCATCTCCACCATCGTCACCATCACCGCTACTCTCCTACTCGTGTCTACCGATGTCGGCGTCGCCATGATACTGCGCCGCCGAAGGTACCGACTCGCACTGAAGTGCCCGCTGGGCAATGCCCAGCGGTCAGCGCCACCGCGGCCGCGCCGGTCGCGCCAACCTAGCTGGCCGCTGTGTGTGTGAGCATGCGCGGGCTAGCGCGGCCGCAGAATGGCCAACGCCAAGCACCCATCGCCATCGCCGCCGCATGGGTTTTGCAAATCAATTTGCGGGTGGGTGGGTGTAATGCTTGCACGGTCCTGGCGTTTGTCAACTCGTTTGTAAAAATTAGTCGCACCACGTAGATAGCACCACATTGTATCGTTCCACATAGATTGCACCACGCAGAGTGTTCAACATAGGTTACACAGCACAGATTGCACACCATATTGTGCAAATTGTCGGTTGCCCCACATAGATACCACCATACAATTGTTTCACGTAAAAGGCGCCACGTACATTGCACCACGTAGATGTTGACACACACGTTGTTTGGAGTCCACGTCGGCTATCAGATGGACAGGGTGTATATGGAGGGAAGATTTATTGTAACATCTTGGTTGTTCCTCCAGTTGTTTTTCCTATATTTCCCTGTCGCACCCCGAGGCCAGTCGAAAGGGCGGGCCAGGCGTTTCGCGTGAGACTTCTTTACAGCTTACGACGACTGTGATGCTTAAAGGTTGGCAATCGCTCTACAAACAGACGTTGGCTCGTTTTGAAAATGTGGTTTTGAACATGTGAAACGTTCGCGGATTTAGGGTGGTTCGTTTTCAATATGTTGGTCTCGCGTTAGCGCCTCGCGCATTCGTTCGACATGTTTGCAAGAGTCTCACGGATTGAAAGCGGCTCCTTATCAAACTGTGGTTTTCGAGTGAGTGCCGCGCACATTCGATTGTAACATTTGCATAAGTTTCACGGATCGAGAGCGGGCCGTTTTCAAAATGTTGCTCTCGATTTAGCGCCGCTCGCATTCTGTTTAGAGAAGCACAACAGGTTCACGGACTGAGGGCGACTCCTCTTTAAAATGTGGTTATCGCCTTAGCGCCACGCACATTCGCTTTGAACAGTTGCAAGAGTTTCATAGGTTCTGATGGTTAACGTGCCAGACACCGCGTTTTACAATGATTCGGGATTGTCAGGGCTCAAACGGTACGTTGATTCGCGGTGCTGAAGTCCCAGGAATGATGTTTTGGCGCGACTCAGAATCGACAAGACGGAGTAGTCAGGTTAACTCGCGGCGTTGATCTCCAGAGAAGAATTTTGGCACCCTTTAAGATGTTCACACGGTTGTCCCCCAACGGGCAAGTCTGCCAATGAAATTGACATTTTGTAGGAGTTTGCAAAGAGGGATCTTGGGGTGAGGGTGTACTTCAACATCTTTGATGAGTCTTGTTTTACATTGGCCCTCCCTCCTCCTCCTCCTCCTCCTCCTCCTCCTCCTCCTCCTCGTCCTCCTCCTCCTCCTCTTACCCCTTCCCCCCTCCCAGCCCGACACCTGGCCCATGGGCGATGCCCAGACCCTTCCTGGGCACTGCCCTGGCCTGCTGCCCTCCGAACCCCCACCCGAGGAGGCGGCGGACCTGCTGCTTTCTGGGGCTCCGCTGGAGGGGCAGACAGGCGGCGGCCCTGGAGGCGCCCGCAGAGGTGGTGGCGAGGAGGAGTTGACATGCTTGTGTTGGTGTTGATGCTGTTGTTGATGATGCTGATGACGATGATGATGATGCTGATGATGCTGCTGCTGCTGATGATGCTTATTAGGGGGAGGAGGAGGAGGGGGAGGAGGAGGAGGAGGAGGAGGAGGAGGAGACTGAGGGGGAGGAGGATGAGGAGGCCGATGATTAGGATGAGGATGAGGATGATGCTGCTGCTGCTGATGCTGATGAGGATGATGATGATGGGGATGATGATGATGATGATGAGGAGGAGGAGGAATAATGGGATGATGAGTTGATATGGGATAATGATGATGCTGCTGATGATGATGATGATTACCAGGAGGAGGAGGAGGAGGAGGAGCACGAAGGGGAGGATACTGACGATGCTGGTGATATGATCTGCTGAGAGTTATGATGCTGATACTGATGCTGAAGCTGCTGCTGCTGGTGATGATGATGATGCTGATGATGCTGATGATGATGATGATGATGCTGATGGTTGTGGTGATGGTGATGGTGATGGTGATGATGATGATGATGAGGATGAGGAGGAGGAGGAGGAGAAGGAGGAGGGGAGGCGGAAGAGGGGGATGGTGAGTGGATATGGTATGATGATGCTGATGATGAGGGGGAGGAGGAGGACGAAGAGGAAGAGGATTAGGAGGAGGACGATACGGTATGATGATAAGTCTGATGCTGATGTTGATGCTGCTGATGATGATGATGGTGATGATGACGACGTTTGTGATGATGATGATGATGATGATGATGATGATGATGATGATGCTGATGATGCTGATGATGATGATGATGATGATGATGATGATGATGATGATGATGATGATGATGATGAAGACGATGAAGACGATGGTGAGGAGGAGGACGAGGAGGAGGAGGGAGGGAGGGAGGGAGGGGGGAGGAGGAGGCGGAAGAGGAGGAGGAGGAGGAGGAGACAGGTGTCAGGATGATGATGAGGAGGGGGAGGAGGAGGAGGAGAGGGAGGAGGGGGATGAGGAGGAGGAGGAGGATGGGGAGGATAACAGTCGCACTGGGGTGCGAGTAATACCAAGACATGTTTCACGTATGGTTTGAAGAAGAACATACACAATGAGGGTGATGTTGGCGAGGGGGAGGAGGACGAGGAGGAGGAGGAGGAGGAGGAGGAGGAGGAGTATATTAGAATTGTTTCTGCGCTTCGCGCTCCCTCCACGACCACCTGAGGACGTTGACCTCCTTGGCAAGCTTAGTGTGACTTGGGGCACGTCCCCTCTCCAGAGATTTCTGATACTGGAGCCCCGTGCGTGTGGGCGGCTTGCAATTCTTGGCCAGCTTCCCTGTCGTGCGGAAGTGGTCTGTGCCCAGACCCCCGCACCTCGAACAGGCGAGCTTTGGATCCTTACAGTGCAAAGAGCTCCTCGCAATTTGTTTGCCCCGCGTCGAGCAAGGCTTCTCATGGCGCGGCAAAGCGTCAGTGGTCTTGGCGCCCTGCTTTAGACCGCTCCTATTATAATGCCGCGCCGCAGTGGGTCCGAACAGAGAGGCGTGAAGTTTTGCGGAGAGGCCAAAGGCTCTTCTCATCCTGGGCCACCTTCGCAAGCAGCTTCTGACACCGCGTATCTGTCGCCGCAAGGGCGCGCCCATTGCCGGGGCACCGCCCCCTACGCTCCTGCGCCCGCCGGCCCAGCCGCGTCGGGCACCAATGCTGGCTGGATTGACTGTGGTAGGATCCAGTCATGGGCAGATGAACCCTGGGCCGGTGAGCCCGTTATTGCGAGATCGGCTGTAGAGCCGGGCGGCCGCGCGAGCGATGGCGGCGGCCCCGGGCCGGCCGTGGATGGCAGCTACGACGCGACGGTCGACTACGAGGACAAGAATGAGAATGGAGAAATCCACGGATGCTACGTACATGTATCTCGTCTTCAGTGGGTTACTGGCCGTGACAAAACGTGGCATTGATTTAGTTTGAACGACTACAACGACAAGTTCAAACGCGACTCTGGGATGTTGAGTACCTTGCCAGAGCCTCCGCCGTCACCTACGCCGAAGGCGAGGCCGCGCGAGGAGGGCCAGGGCAAGAGTAAGCCCAGCACCTGAAGTTCAAGCAGAAAACAAAATAGACATGAACATTACTCCAGAGATCAGTACCAGTGGAACTGGAGTAGCAGAGACACGTGGGATGATTCTCGTGAATGGAGGATTAATTGGCAGAGGTGACGCAGTAACAAAGAACCGGTACGACATAGTCGATGCTTGGTCCAGACTACATCATGGAGCGGGCTCACCATGTGAGCACGGGCATTGTGGCCAGAGCTCGGAAATACTAGCTCAGGCGGGGAACGTCGGGTTACTTCGGCCTTCTGCCCCCTGGCAACCACCGCTGAGCGGTAAAATGCATTTGGGGTTCGCTCCGGTGGCTGTGCATATGTACAGGCCACGTGGGTTTTGGGGGTCGGGGCTGCCCTGCGGACCCCGCCGCGGGGGGAGTCAATGCACTCCTTCCGCACAAGCACAACCATCCTCCTGCCCTTACTGCTCCTTTGCCTTGCGTGCGCTGTCCGATGTGCTGACTGCTTTTCTCCCGCAGCTACAACTTTGGCTCTAGGGAAACGGAAAAAGGAGCGAGCTTGCGGCGCAGCGTTACTCTAGTGTATGCTTGACGGCATGATCCTTTTCTTCACCATGTCATCGGCGGAGCCCGCTGACCATGATACATTATTGGAACACCTTGCAGGGATTATGAAAATCCAGGCAGAAAACTGGAGGAGACCCATGCGAACGGTGTCAGTGGGGCCGCCGATGGAGCCCCCTAAGGGGGGAGACGAAGCGTTGCGTCGGGCGGGAGAAACGCACGCGGACGGTGCCATCGGGGCCTTCGGTGGAGCGTCCTATTGGGCCACGAAGCGATGTATTGGGTGAGGGAAAACGCACGCGGACGCTGCCAGTTGGGCCTTCGGTGGAGCTCCCGATGGGGCCCCGAACTGGGTGGGGGAGACGCATGCGGACGGTGCCACTGGGGCCTTCGGTGGAGCACCCTCTGGGGCCACGAAGCGATGTATTGTGCGGAGGACACGCATGCGGGCGGCGTTAGTTGGGCCGCCGGCGGAGCTCCCTACGGGGCCACGAAACGAAACGCTGCATTGGGTGGGAGAAGCGCATGCGGACGGTGCCATCGGGGCCTTCGGTGGAGATCCCTACGGGGCCACGAAACGATGTTCTGGGTTGGGGAGACGCAAACGGACGGTGCCACTGGTGCCTTCGGTGGCGCCCCCTATGAGACCACGAAGCGTCGTGCTGGGCGGGGGGGGCGCAGGCGGACGGCGCCACCGGGGCTCCTGGGGGAGCTTCCCACCGGGCCACGAAACGATGTTCTGGGTGTGCCGAATGGGGCATGTGGAAAGTTGAGGCAGGCACGGGAGCAGGGAGGAAAGCGGAAGGAGGAAAAGGGGAGGAGGAGGCGGGAGGGAGAGAGAGAGGGCCGCGGGGCGCCGCCTTTTCAAAACGAGGACCCCACAATAGGTTGGTAGGGGATCACATTATTTCATGGCCATATCGATTTCATAGTCGAACTCCTATTCGAACAGGCTTGCCTGCGGTAGGTCGGGTGTGCAGGGCGTTGGTGCCTGCCATTTTTTGGGGAAGGGTTTTTGAAGGGCTTGGCGGTTATTGCTGCCCTCGGCCCGCGCTGGAGCTTCCAAGATGTACCCAGATCTGTCTGGACATTTCTGGGCTGACTTTGGTTTATATCCGATGGCGCTGAGTTTCTTCGATTTCTCTCGGTCTGTTTAATGCGCATTTTCACGGGAAGGTATCAGGAACGTGGCAGGAAAACGCAACTCGCGCGGCATGGCACAGGAGAGTGGCAGGAAAGCCCCACCCTCCTCCATCGATCAACGCCCGTCCACCGAGTACCCGTCAGGGTGGCGCTGAGGTGGGTGCTGGTGCCGCGGATGAGAGGAGCAGGAGGAAGGATCTACGATCCAGCGGGACAGTCAGGACGCTGGAAGAGGCACCGTTTTGGGCTCAGGATCCGGGCCGTTCCTCAGGTCCAGGTCAGGGAACCTATTCGCGGCCGAGGTTTGCCGTCGCCAGGAAAGCTCTGCGTTTCCTATTCGGCGTACGGTCTGGTAGCACGTTGCTCGATGCCTGTGCTCCCTCCCGTCCCAATTCCTTCCCCGCAAGTCCCTGCTGTCGTTCTTCGTCGCCGCGGGGAACGCCTTGCTTTAGAGATGAGCTCGTCACGGGCCTGCTATTCGAGTGACCTCCACGGTTGGAAACGGAGCCGCCTTCCACCCGCGTAGTTTTTGGAAGCTTCAAACACGATTGCGCTCGGCGCCGCAGCCAGACCATTTTGTTGCTGACTACCTGCCCTCCATCGTCCATCCGCATATTTGCTGGAAGGCGTCAAGCCATCCGCGCATCTGTTAGGAAGTTTTCAAGACAAATGTACGCTGCGACAAACGTGAGCCGCATTTTGAAAAGGACCTGCCGCACCCTCCATCCGCGTACTTAGCTGTTGGAAGCTTTCAGGACGAATCCAGACATCCGACGATGGTTTTTCAATCCGCGGCCCAGAGTTCCGGAGTCCCACCCCGGGATACATTTCTTTGTTTTGGACCCGTGTTTGACGGTCCCAGGGCCCGAAGATGGCCCCGAAGGCCGACAGGGTGGAAAAACACCGAGATTGAGCAAATCAATATTTCGGAAATCCGGGAATGTGCGTGCAGCCAATGCGAGAGTCATATTCTGGAAAGGAAGCGCCCTCCGAAGCGGCCCGAGAACATGTGAAACTAGCCAGATCATACGAGCATCGCAGTAAGCCGACGGAAACCGCTAGTAGACAGTTTTGTTTAGTCTATGGTGAGTTTATTTGCATGGAGGGGGGAGGGGGGGTCGTGGCGAGGCCCTCAAGGAAATCAGGACTTCACGCAAGCCGGAAAGGAAATCCGGCGCTGCCTGGGGAGTGACGTGCAAGTGAACCGGCCCGAGTTTGGAGCAGATTTGCCTTCTGAGCCGGCAGATGATCGGCGTTACCCCAACATATCAATATTCTCCAGGCTTACGCCACATCCGCCGACCCCTTGATTCGTACCGGCGGCTATCGCCGCGTTTCCGCCTTCACTGCTCGTGAGCCCGGATGACCCCGGCTCGAACGCCTCTGGGTTACCTTGGGGCTGTATTGGAGGCCTCCAGGGCCGTCTGGGAGCGTCGGAAAGCCCAAAAGGCAAATTTGTGAAAAATGTACGTTTCACGAAGGGAACGGGCCAATTTTTGCGCCGAGGGGCCCTCCTGGGACGCATCTTGGAGGCCTCTTGGGGCCTCTTGGGGCCGTCTTGGGCCGTCTGGAGGCGATCGTCGGTGTCTTTGATCGCTCTTCGACCGTCTGTGACCATATTGAGCTCTCTTGGAGGCCACTTGAAGCGCTCCTGGAGCGCTCTTGGGGCCGTCTTCGGGGCCCTCTTGGGCAATCTTGGGCGCCTCTTGGGCTGTCTTGGGGCTCTCTTGGGCTGCCTTGGAGCTTCCCTGGAGGCTTCTTGGACCGTCTTGGGGCGGTATTTAGGGCCTCTTGGGCCGTCTGGGAGCGTCGGAAAGCCCAAAAAGCGAATTCGTGAAAAATGTACGTTTTACGAAGGGAATGGGCCAATTTTTGCGTCTAGGGACCCTCGTGGGACGCATCTTGGAGGCCTCTTGGGGCCTCTTGGGGACCTCTTGGGCCGTCTTGGAGGCCTCTTAGCCCGTCTTTGAGCCATCTTGGGCGTCTTGGAGCGCTCGTTTGGCGTCTCGGGGCTCCCGTGGGCCGTCTTGAAGGCCTCTTGGGGCCATCTTGGCCCGTCTTGAGGCTTCCTGGGGCCCGGAAAAGCCCCGGCGGCGCTCGTCCCGGGCCCGGGGGGGGCGCTCGTCCCGGGCCCGAGGCGCTCGTCCCGGGCCCGGGGGGGGGGGGTCAAATCGCCGGTTTGGGGTCCCGGGGGGGGGGGACTATAGGGGGGGGAACTATCTCACACGCCTAGAGACCCACAAGGGGTCGGCGGATTTTGTGCGCGCCGCCCCTCCAGGGACGACGCGAGCGCGCCGAGAAGTCTTATAGTCCAAGCTCACTTGCGGGCGCTCTCTGGCCATAACGCTCGGGAAACGATCTACTGCAAGATGGCTGTACGATATGCTCGGGTCGGACGCGCGCCTCCAAGGATGACACACAGCACCAGGTACTAGGTATGTCCTTGCGCGTCCCGAAGACGAAGATACCGCCGCCGGATACTGCCGAAGCCGCTCCGCTCCCGCCGCCCGATACCGCCAGAAGCCGCCGAAGACGCTCCGCTCCCCAGCTGAGGCGGCGCGGCCGCCGCCCCGTGCGGGGCCACGGGGCCCGTGGCGCCCGGCGGCGCCGAGCCTGCTGCAGAAGGCCGCGCGGTCCTGGCCGCGGTGCGTCCCTGGTCTGCGCGAACGAAATGGGTACGGAAAGAATGGGTACAATGCCCAACAGCAGTTCCTGTTCATTTTGAACAGGATTCGCTGTCCACGCCGCCGCGGCCTGTGTCCATTCGAGACAGAGGGCCGCCTGCCCAACAGCGGCCGCTGTTGGTTCGGGACAACATTTGCTGTTGGGCATTGTGCCCATTGTTTCCGTGCCCATTTCGGGCGTCCAAACCTGGGGCTGAGCGGGCGTTGGGGGTCCAGACTTCCGTGGGGTCCACGTTTGAACAACTCACGACGTCGAGGGCCTGGGACGAGGGCAACGTTGCGCCCCCCGAGCCCCAACGACGCAGATCGTAAACAGAACCCGGGTGTAACCGCACCCTGTGTAGATGGGGAACAATGGCATGATCATACAAACTCGGACGTCCGCGCGGATTCCTCGGATCGGCACTGGGGCCCCCTGGCGGCGCCTCTGGCGCAACCCTTGGCGCGCTCCTCGCGCTAGGGAAAAGGGTCCAGCGCCGATCCGAGAAATCCGCGCGGACCCAGACCCAGACCCACACCCCCTCGGGTCATGAACAAAATCATGACGACATGCTTTTAGCTATTTTCGGCCTCGGAGGGCCCTCGCTGGGCCTCGGGGCTGTCAACAAAACAACTCGGGACGGAAAAGCGGTCCCGGGGAATGGGTCGAGACCTCTTGGGGTCAGCGACGCGGATCGCGATTTGCGTCGTTGGGGCTTGGTGGACCTCACGTTGCCCTCGTCCCAGACCCCCCACGTCGTGAGTTTTGTTCATGGCGTGGACCCCTAGGGGTCTGGACCCCTTCCTGGAGACTGCTCTTTCATCCTGAGTCGTGTTTTGACAGTCCCGAGGCCCGGTAAGGGCCCCCCGAGGCCGCAAACGGCCAAACACCGTGCGTCGTCATTGTTGTTCCTGATCCAAGGGGTTCTGGGGTCGAGCCTTTTCGGGGCGCGGCGCAGAACTCTGTCGAGGCCCCCTCGCCCGCCCCGCAGGATGCGGGTTTGCAAGCCGCGCTCCCTGCAGACCACGCCCTTCGGAGTCGCCGAGCCGGCAGGCTGCCGTTGTGAGGCCCAGATCTCCGCCGCGGCGTCTCCTCCTGGGGGCCCGACGTTCCAGGACGTCCTCGTTGGTTTCTGGAGGTCTTCCCTGCCTCGGCATGCGCTCCAGCAGCTGCGCCCCGCCGAGAGCGTTCCCCCGGGTGCTCGGATCGCCCCGACCGGCCGCCGGAGGCTCGGGCTGTGGCCCAAAAGCCGAGTGGCCCCAGGGATGCCGATCCTCCTCCTCCTCCTCCTCCTCCTCCTCCTCCCTCCCTCCCTCCCTCCCTCCCTCCCTCCCTCCCTCCCTCCCTCCCTCCCACCTGCACTTCTCCCGCGTTCCCGTCGCCACACCCTCCACAATGCTCCACCCCCTCGTCCCTCCTCCCTGCTCCATGCGTGCCGGTACCGCTGCTCATCCTGGAGGGCCCTCGTCGCCATGGCTGGATTCGCTTCAGAGCCCTGGTCAGAGCGCGCCCCAGGAAAGGGCGATCCAGGGAGCAGAGGTATCGCTGCCTGTTGGTTTCCCCAAGGTCTCCGACGATATGGTTTTTGTCAACCAGGGTTTTCTCCTCGATCTCGACCTTCGGGCCCGTTCTCGGGCCCGAGGCAGCAACTCACTGTACTCGATGCGGAGATCCCCGTGCATCTCATTTTCTGGCACGTCCCGTTGTGAGCGTCTGTCTGTCATTGTCTGGGTGTAGGCGTGAGTCCGAGTGGGCGATGGACATGACGACGACGACGGCGGCTACGGTGAGGGACAACGGCGACGACAACTCACAGACAGACGGGCGTTGAGCAGGCCCCCTCCCGTCTCCTTGCTCTTCCTCCTCGTGCGAGCCCCTTCCTTCGTTTCCTCCCTCCTCCCATTTCCTTCCTCCTGCGTCCTCCTCCTTCCTCCTCCGTCCTCCCTCCTCCTTCCTGGCGGCTGTCCTCCTCTGTCCTCCTGCGTAATCTTCCTTCCTCCTCCTCGTCCTCATTCCTTCGTCCTCACGTGTCCTTTCTCCTCCCTGACAAGTGTCAGCATTTCCCTGGCGGCCTCCTCCCCTGTTCTTCCTCATCCTCCTTGCGGTAGCCCCTCCCTTCTCTTCTTCGTTCCTTCCTTCTCCTTCCTGTCGCGTCTTCCTCCGTCTTCCCTCCTCGTCCTGGACGGCCGTCCTTCTCATTGTAACGAGGTGACCATCGGGCTCTGAAAGCCGACGAGTCCAATCCACCAACTATGCAAATCGCCCGAGACATCTTCACAATCTGGCCACGAGCGGGCCGCCGGCTGCCCTCCCGTGGGATCCTGGAGCCAGCGCCCCGCTGGAGACATCCCCGCGCTGTCTTCTGAATTGCAGGCGAGCCTCGGCCACCAAACAAAGCAGACCGCGTGACCGATCCCCTCGATCCGGGCCCCCTGGCAGTGCTGGAGCTGGCGCCTCGCTCGGGAGATATCCCTGCACTCTGCTCTGGAATCAGGGGAGTCCAGGCCACCACACAGGCATGCCGCCTGAGATGTACCCACAGGCTGGGCTTCCTGGGAGTGTTCAATCCGATAAATCGCTTGAGACATGCTCATAATCTGCTCTGAAAGCAGATCGGTCTGAGCACCGCAACAGGCAAACCGTTTGAGACATCCCCACACTCTGGCCGCGAACGGAACCCGTGACCCCCTGGCGGTTCTCTTTGGGGTGCCGAAGCCAGCACCTCGTTCGAGACCTCACAATCTCACAATCTGCTTTGAAAGCAGACGAACCTGAGCACCTACGAGGCAAACCGCCTGAGACATCCCCACAATCTGGCCGCGAAGGGGCCCGTGAAATTACCCTCTGGCGGTTACCCCTTGGTGTCTTGGAGCCAGCGCCCTCGAAACACTTACAATCTGCTTTGGAAGTGAGCGATTTTGACCACCGAATTCGGCAACCAGCTGGAGACATTTCCACGAACTGGCCGCGAACGAGCCAGTGACATACCACCTGGCGGCTCCCCCTTGGGGTGCTGAAACCAGCGCCTTGCACGAGAAAGTTTAACGATCTGCGAGTCTGAGCGTGATAGGCTCTGAATATGGGTGGGTCTGAGTCTGAAGGTGAGTGAGTCTGAGTGTGAGTGAATGTGGGTACGAGTGGGTAAGAGTGTGAGTGAGTGAGTAAGAGTGAGGGTAAGTATGAGTGTGGATGAGTCTGAGTGTGGGTGAGTCTTAGTGTGAGTGAGTCAGAATGTGGTGGGCGTGTGACTAGAGTCTGAGTGTAAGTGAGTTCTGAGTGTCAGATGGTTTGATCATGAGTGAGTATGAGTAGGAGCGTGTCCGAGCAAAAGTCGGAGTGCGAGTGAGTATGAATAACGATGGGCAGGTCTGAGTTCGAGGAGGGGAGAGAAAGGAGGAGGGATGACGAGGGAGGAACCGGAGAAGTTTCCGTCATGACAGGGATCCCACCTGATGGTACGGGGGAATCTGGCCTTGGGGAAGGGGCCCGGCCCTCCGGGCCTCTGGGGATGTGTCTGGGGGACGGGTGGGTGGCCTGCGTGTGGCGCGAACGGGGCAACGACCGAGCGTGCGGGGGCCAGGGCTGGGGGGACCCCTCGGTGTGGGCCCCCAGGGGCCCGACGTCGGGCCCCGTGACCACCAAAAACGGGCCCGGGGCGACAGAGCTGCCCCCCCGGGGAAAGGGTCGGACCCTCCGAAGGATTGCAAAAAAACCCTGGATTGCAAAAAAACCCAGGGTTTTTTTGCAATCCAGGGTTTTTTTGCAATCCTTCGGTTTTTTTGCAGTCCTTCGGTCACGCGTGCAACGAAAGTCCAATGGGCTGATGTCTGGGGGAGCAGCGAGCGACGCCACGCAGGAGAGGCCCTATAGGCAAGAGTGGCCTGCGGTGCGCGGCTCTGGGAGGCTGCGAGGGGGCAACGTCCGAGCGTGCGGGCCGGGGCTTCGGGGGACTCCGTGGGCCGCGCACCACGAGGGCACCCCGGCGAAGGGCCACCGCCTGCGAGCCGAGAAAGAGAAAGAGGAGGACAGAGGAGGGCGGCGGCGCGCCTCCTCCTCCCCCCCCTCCCCCCCCTCTCCCTCTCGCCGCCTGCATGTGGCGCGCAGCTCCGGGAGGGCGGTCTCCTGGGACGGCGGGCGGGGGGCTGCCGGAAGGGCCCGGGGGGGCCCTCTGGGGAAGGCAAAGGGGGCCTCCGAGAGGATCTCTCTCGAGAGAGGCAGGGAGGGTGGGCTTTTTGGAAGCTCGGGCTCGGGCTCCCTCGGCTACACGTACGAGTGACCACTCGCCGGAGTGGCCTTTGGTGCGGACCCACTGGTGCCCCCCCATCGCCGAGCGCGGTGCGATAGCAGCGTCTTGCGCGCTCCGGATTTGCCTCCACCGCGGCTCCCCGAAAGCTGCGCACCAGAGGTCACTCTTGCCCAGGGTCACTCTTGCGTGTAGTCGACGCCGGGCTCGGGCTCGGGCTCGGGACTCGGGGCTCGGGCTCGGGCTCGGGTCGGACCCCCCGGCAGCCTCGAATTAGGGATCTTCGGCGAAGCCGCCAGTGCCTTCGGAGAAGGCTCGGAAAGCTTCTCAGAAGGTCGGAGGCTTTCTGAGCCTTTGAGCACGCCTGCCGTCTCTGCCGTCGTCATCATCGTCGTCGCGGTCGTCGTCGTCGTCGTCGTCATCGTCGAAGGCAGCGTCGTCGTCGTCGTCGTCGTCGTCGTCGTCGTCGTCGTCGTCGTCGTTGTCGTCGTCGTTGTCATCAGCGTTGTCGTCGCCGTCGCCGTCGTCGACGTCAGCGACGTCGCCGTCGTCAGCCACGTAGGCCTGGTCGACGTCGTCGTTGTCGACGACGGCGACGACGACGACGTCGACGTCCGCGCGCCAAGCCTGGCGTCGTCGTCGCCGCTGGTCTCGCGGGAGGCGGCGCCGCTGCGCGCCTGGCAGAGGCCACCGGCAGGCCGCGCGAGGACTGCGCGGCGGCGCTCGCGGCCAGCGGCGGCGATGCCGACGCCGCCGCGGCGGCGCTGCTGGTGCGCCCTCTCGGGCGGCAGCGGCGTCGTCGACGAAGACGGCAGTTGACAACGGGATAGCAGTGATGACCATGATGACGACGATGCCGACGACGACGACGCCGACGACGACGATTACGGCGATGATGATCATGTTGTTGATGATGATGATGATGATGATGATGATGTTGATGCTGCTTTGCTGATGCTGATGATTATGATGATGACGATGACGTGATGGTGATTTGTGATGACGATGACGATGGTGATGATGATGATGATGATGATGATGATGATGGTGCTGATGAAGATGCTGCTGATGATGACGATACTGATGACGATGATGATGATGATGATGAGGAGGAGCAGGACGATGATGATGACGACGTGGAGGAGGAGGCGGATGATGATGACGATGATGATGATGATGTGAATGATGACGATGGTGATGATGATACTGATGTTGATGATGACTACCACGATAATGACCTTGAGAGGAAGGCGGATTCTGATGGTGATGATGATGTTGATGATGTTGCTGATGTTGATGTTGCTGATGATGATGATGATGATGATGATGATGATGATGATGATTATGATGATGATGATGGCAATGCTGCCGATGCTGCTGCTGATGCTGGAGCTGATTATGCTGATTATGATAGCGATGATGATGGTGATATGTGATGATTATGATGATGCTGATGACGATGGTGATGATGATGCTGATGATGATGCTGATGCTGATAGTGTTGATGTTGATGACGATGATAATAAATCGTGGCGCTTCGCGTATCCCCACCAGCTGATGATATTAATCCGTGGCGCTTCGCGTATCCCCACCAGCTCGTTGTCCTCGGGAATGTTCCTTTCTGTCCGCATCTGGACTTCTTGGAACGCCTCGCGCGCCATTTTGGCTGCGCTTGGTCTCCTCGGTGCCTGTCCTCAGGCTCGTTGGATGGACCGTTGCATGCCCGTCCTGGGGCTGTCTCAGTCTCCCTGGATTGCTCGTCGGCTGCCGCCCTGGGCGCTGCCTCCCTCGCCGCCTGATCCGCGGCCCCCGCGTGCGCTAGGCAATTTAGCCGCGGTCGTAGCCCGCCCGCGACCTCCCGCCGCTGGCGCTTCCGCCTGCGGCTGTAAAAAAAAATATCCCCACCAGCATTTGCGTTCGCATCCATTCGCGGCTGTCTCCTGGGCCTGGCGTGCTTGGTTCGGTTTGACACCACGAACTCCACGCCTTTGGGCTGCGTGGGTGCGTACTCTGAAGCTGCGACGGTTCGCTGGCGCTGTCAGAGCCTAACCTTTCGTACGGGATGCCGACTGACGACTGCTCGTGTGTCTTTCGGTTGATGCTTGTGCATGGCAGGTCCCCTGGATCCCCTCGCACTTTATTCCCGCCGAGGTTGGGGACTTCCTCCGTTCAGTTAGTGTCTCAGACCGCATTTGTTCTGTAGCCTCTGACACGGTGGGGGTCTTGCATCGCGCCACTTTGGCAGCGTAATTTCTTCTCCCTGGGTGCTGGTTTCGCCATCAGACCCCCTGGGCAGCAGCACCCTTGCACCCGCCGCCGGCGCCGGCCGCGGCACGCGCGCGCCCCCGGCCAATTTGTAGTGGCCGCAGCCCGACCGTTACCCGCCGCCGCTGGCGCTTCCGCCCGCGGTTGTAAAAAAAATATCCCCACCAGCTTTGGTCTTCGACGGCTTCGGCGTGTTCGACTTGCTCGCCAGCGTCGGGTTCGCCCTCTGAGCCGCAGCGTAGTTCGCTCCTGCTCGCTTCGTGTTAATTGAGTCCGCTGCTCGTTAGCCGCGTTTCGACTTGACGCCGAGCGATTTGTCGCTACGGTCGCGATCAAAAAAGTATCCCCACCAGCCCATCCAGAAATGATCGCCGTGGGACTTGGCCTATTGAGGGACGTGGAGAAGCATGCAGTGGAACCGCCACCTGGGAAGCGAGTAGGGGGCGCGGTAACGGTGGGAACATATGTTGAATGGTTGAACACACGTTCCCGTGCCACGCAAGCTTCATTTTACAGGCGCAGCCCGTAATTTGATATTCGGAAAGTAGACGGCTTTGACTCTCAGAACTGACTGACAGAACTGAACTGAATCACCAAAGCCGTTACATGGCAGTTCTACTTCATGGGATTATGATATTTCGCTGGCAGTTTTAAGTCAGGGGCTTGAGGACATCTCGCTGGCAGTTTTAGGCCAGGGGGTGAGGATAGTCCGCTGGCAATTCTCAAGCGAGGGGTGCTAGGATATGTCGCAGGCAGTTTTAGGGCATTTCGCTGGCAGTTTTGACCCAGGGTTGTGAGGACAGTTCTGTGGCAGTTTTCAGTCAGTGGGTGAGGGATATCTGGTTGGCAGTTTTAGGCCAGGGGGTGAGCATATTTAGCTGGCAGCTTTGTGCCAGTGGCGGTGAGGATATTTCGCTGGCAGTTTCAAGCGAAGGGTGGGAGGATATTTCGCTGACAGGTTAGGGTGTGCTGATGTTTACATCGTCGCTTCGAAAGTTCCTTGGATTTTGTGAGTTGGGCCCGATGGCATTGTGTGCTCGCCTACGTTGCACCCCTCTTGGCAACGGCACCGACGGGGTTGAGGGGCAGGATGCGTTGAACCCCCCTCCCCCCCTAGAAGACTAGCAAGATAGCCCTCTTGCGTGGTCTCGGCGGGATCCTTGGCGAGTAGTTTCCCATTTTAGTTATTTAGCTTTAGTCCAGCCAACCATAAATCCCACCCCAAAAAAATAGGGTCCGGATGAATCCCGCGGTGGGACCCAATCCCGCCACTGTATGTCGTGTTCGGGTCGTCTTGAGGTCATCCTGAAATCATTTCCAGGCCATCTTAAGAGCATGGTGTTCTACTCTGGGAATGCTTCGGCCACCTCGGGGTCGCTCTGGGGCCACTGCGCCTGGTCTCCATGGCATCGCTCACATCTGGGCATCTTGGATTCGCCCCCAGGCCATTTCGACGCTGCGTCTGGATCCTGCAGGGGCCACAGGATCTTCTTGAGGTCGCCCCGAGGTCATCTTCATGCCCGTCTGAGGCCGTCGTGGAACTATCTTGGGGCCATGAGGCCGCCCAGGCATCCTGTCTGGGTCGTCTGGAGGTCTTCCGCGTTTCCAAGGAAACTTTCGTTACGCCTAAGTAGCTGGCAGTTTTGACCCAGGGTTGTGAGGATATTTCGCTGGCAGTTTTCAGTCAGGGGGTGAGGGATATCTGGCTGGTGGTTTTAGGCCAAGGGGTGAGGATATTTGCCGGCAGCTTTAGGCCAGGGGCGGTGAGGATATTTCGATGGCAGGTTCAAATATTTCGTTGAAAGTTTTAAGTTTAGGCTGCGATGATATTTACATCGTCGCTTCGAAAATGCCTTGGATTTTGTGAGTTGGGCCCGATGGCATTGTGTGCTACGTTGCACCCCTCTTGGCAACGGCACCGACGGGGTTGGGAGGCAGGATGCGTTGAACCCCCCTCCCCCCCTAGAAGACTAGCAAGATAGCCCTCTTGCGTGGTCTCGGCGGGATCCTTGGCGAGTAGTTTCCCCTTTTAGTTATATAGTTTTAGTCCAGCCAACCATATCCCACCCAAAAAAATAGGGTCCGGATGAATCCCGCGGTGGGACCCAATCCCGCCAATGTATGTCGTGTTCGGGTCGTCTTGAAGTAATACTGAAATCGTTTCCAGGTCATTTTAAGAGCATGGTGTTCTACTCTGGGAATGCTCTGGCCACTTCGGGGTCGCTCTGGGGCCACCACGCCTGGTCTCCAGGGCATCGCTCACATCTGGGCATCTTGGATTCGCCCCCTGGCCATTTCGACGCTGCGTCTGGATCCTGCAGGGGCCACGGGATCTTCTTGAGGTCGCCCCGAGGTCATCTTCATGCCCGTCTGAGGCCGTCGTGGAACTATCTTAGGGCCATGAGGCCGCCCAGGCATCCTGTCTGGGTCGTCTGGAGGTCTTCCGCGTTTCCAAGGAAACTTTCGTTACGCCTAAGTAGCTGGCAGTTTTGACCCAGGGTTGTGAGGATATTTCGCTGGCAGTTTTCAGTCAGGGGGTGAGGGATATCTGGCTGGTGGTTTTAGGCCAAGGGGTGAGGATATTTGCCGGCAGCTTTAGGCCAGGGGCGGTGAGGATATTTCGATGGCAGGTTCAAATATTTCGTTGAAAGTTTTAAGTTTAGGCTGCGATGATATTTACATCGTCGCTTCGAAAATGCCTTGGATTTTGTGAGTTGGGCCCGATGGCATTGTGTGCTACGTTGCACCCCTCTTGGCAACGGCACCGACGGGGTTGGGAGGCAGGATGCGTTGAACCCCCCTCCCCCCCTAGAAGACTAGCAAGATAGCCCTCTTGCGTGGTCTCGGCGGGATCCTTGGCGAGTAGTTTCCCCTTTTAGTTATATAGTTTTAGTCCAGCCAACCATATCCCACCCAAAAAAATAGGGTCCGGATGAATCCCGCGGTGGGACCCAATCCCGCCACTGTATGTCGTGTTCGGGTCGTCTTGAGGTCATCCTGAAATCATTTCCAGGCCATCTTAAGAGCATGGTGTTCTACTCTGGGAATGCTTCGGCCACCTCGGGGTCGCTCTGGGGCCACTGCGCCTGGTCTCCATGGCATCGCTCACATCTGGGCATCTTGGATTCGCCCCCAGGCCATTTCGACGCTGCGTCTGGATCCTGCAGGGGCCACGGGATCTTCTTGAGGTCGCCCCGAGGTCATCTTCATGCCCGTCTGAGGCCGTCGTGGAACTATCTTAGGGCCATGGGGCCGCCCAGGCATCCTGTCTGGGTTGTCTGGAAGTCTTCCGTGTTTCCAAGGACACTTTCGCTACGCCTAAGTAGCTGGCAGTTTTGACCCAGGGTTGTGAGGATATTTCGTTGGCAGTTTTCAGTCAGTGGGTGAGGGATATCTGGCTGGCGGTTTTAGGCCAAGGGGTGAGGATATTTCGGTGGCAGTTTTAGGCCAGAAGCGGTGATAATATTTTGCTAGCAGTTTCAAGCGAGGGGTGTGGGGATATTTC